TGTGTGTGTGTGTGTGTGTGTGTTTGTGTGTGTGTGTGTGTGTGTGTGTGTGTGTGTGTGTGTGTGTATGTGTGACAGGCCCACCGAGATGGGCGTCAGTCAGGATCCAGACGAAGGGATGAGGATGGGGGAGATGGAGATCGAGCTGGACGGGACGGCGCAACTCCAACACAGACTCAACATGCATGCATTCCAAAGTATGCAAATGAAAAATGAAACTGAAACAAACTGCAGTTGGGGTATACCCCCAGCAGAATGACTGGACTAGACTGGTGTGGCCTGGTACCGACAGTGGTACCGGGCAGGGGGTATACGACCTGTGGGATCATTGGATGAATATACGGTCTGTGGGATCAGGCCATGACCTGGTCCCACAGGCCAAACAGGCAAATAGCCAGATAGCCTTGGTTGTAGGTCAGGCCAGTTATAGGCATATTGCACGATCCTCAAACCTGTAATGGATCGTAAGAGCCATAAACATGTTTTCGCCGAAGCAGCAATCTCTACAGCAAAAAAACTGAGAAATCTACGATGCGGAGCAAACTCTATGCAGAGTCCATGCAATACAGTCTAGGCTACATAATGCCAAATAAAAAGCAAATGTATGGTATACATATCGTAACTAACAGAAGAAAATGAAATGTAGCACGATACAATCCTAAAGTCCTAGAGGCAATTGCCACAGTGTTGAAGGAAAAAGATAGCAATATGTCACAAGATAATGTTGTGTCGCTGAACCGCTAAGAGTGGGATGGTCTCAGAGGGGGTCAATGCAACCTAAGAATCAAAACTCCTAAGGGCAGTCATACACGAAGGTGGGATAGATCATCAACTTCAAGGTGAGGGAGTGGTAGTGAAACAAAACCAATGACCCTAATAGATAGACCATCAAGGTTGGTAATGCTCGACAAAAGGGTGACACCATGCAGGGTTGACCATGAAAGGGGACTCTGGAATAGGGTGGTGATATACCTAGTTGAAGGAATGCAATAGCCGACAGTAGGGTGATGAGGGTAGTGGGTGAGGGAAACATGCACACAACTCACCTCCCAGGGGGGAAGCTAAGTCGGGGAGCAAGGAAACCAAAATAAGGCTACGGTCTCAACGCCTATGCGATACCAAGGGAGAGTTTAACTCAAGGAGAATCAGCTAAGTGAGAACTATCATGCGACACATACAAGGGAATGCACAAGGTAGGATGGTGGCGTTGTCAGGCGGCCACAAGTAGTGCGCCGCCTGAAAACGGCAGTTTAGGGGTTTAGGCTCAGGGTTAAGTCCGCGTTTTGACAGTGCTTTGGGATGACCAGGCAGCAAGAATTATGAGAACTCAGGGTACCCCTGATTCTGGGCGCACTGGATTTTAAGAGTGACCCCCAAAGACAGCAAGATGGATGGGTGCGCTGAGCGCATCTAGAGACCGTCGTTTCCGGTCGTTCAGAGGACTTGAACCGTTTTGGCCTTCCGCGGAGAGGGATCGCGGAAACAGACCTCGCCGYGGCATTTTGACGGCATACAACCGGGGCCGAAATGAGGCCTCGGATTTTCGTCTTTTTAAACATCATAATTAAAAATAAAAGAAAGAGATTGAGGCCAGAAGAGGAGCGGAGAAAAACGCAATATTCTTTATTTTCTTCATTTTTCACTACATTTAATCTTAGGGGAAATTCCTTTGTTATTTTATG